CAGTGGGGGTAATATTTGTACCTACTTCTTAAAGATGTTGTGAATTTTAAATAAAATTAATACATGTAGAACCCTTAGCAAAGTCCCTGGTAAATGATTTACCCTTAGGATTAGCAATAACAATCCAAAGAATTATTACCTGAGGATCCTAAGCAAAAAAACTCCTTAACACTACTATTTATTTTGAAGGATTGGGAGAAAAGTTTAGATTTTTTAGGCCTTTATGAAAATTAGGTTGCTTACTGTTTTCATAATTTTATATCAATTGACAAATGTAAATTTACAAGTATTTCGTTACCTATAGTGATTTATAGACATTAAAGACTTATTTTATTATTGTGAATTGAATACTTTTATAAATAAATTTCTTTTTAATTTGCTCATTCACATTCATTTTGTTTTGTTTTTCTCCTCTCCTCCTAGTCAAACAATCCTGTTCCAGATTACTAATTGCAACACACATGTCTGGTTGCCCATTCAAGAACTCAAAGATTTTAGATGTATATAGATTGCATAACTTGCCCAAGTTGAGAATAAAGAAGGCTGTATCAGGTATTCTGTCTTCCGATTATCTCTAGAGTGCTGTAGTTTAAACATTTAAATCAGAATTTGAAAACATAAGTCATTAAATGCCAAGAGTTAACTTTGGCTCACAGATGTTATATTGATGCTTCATACTCTTTGTTGTTTTTATAAACACAGCTGTAAATGTAACTGAGTTAAAGTGCAGGGTGAGTTTGTATGAGTGAATTGAGTCAGACTACCTTGTGGAAAACATGCTCATTTATGGTACATTCCAGAAAACCTTTTCCTCTCTCGTCGTGTACCTCAAATCTGAACCAACTGGCACAAGAGGAGATTGCTCCTCCTTCTCCAGCAGAGCATCTGGTGGATTTGAATCACCTGCTTTGGGATTGCAGCACAGCTTCTTGCCACTAGGCCACCAGAGCTCCCTTATTTCAGAAATCTTACAACAGGTTCTATACCTAGGCAAGGTAGCATGATGATTAGCTGGGGGAAACAAATTATACAATTAAAATGTAAACCAAACTATCCTGTTTGGTCAAATATATAGTTATATCCAAATAAATTAACTGTGGCTTAATTAGTTTTCTTTTGTGTTTGTGTGCGTCATACTGGGAGCTGGGAGATTAGCAGAAAAAGTGAATGAAGAAAGAACTCCATTATTCGAACAGCTATCTCAATCTTGAGCTAGGAGGACTCGGGATTGACCTTTAAACTAGGTAAAAGAAAGTATTGTGAAGGTGTTTTCACCCAAAATAAAAGCCCCAGGTGTTATCATTTCCGTTTTATGCCATAACTTCTATTTGAGTTTTATGTCTTAAAACTACTCCTGCCATTATAATTTTTACCTTAAATTGTGACAAAATATAAGTTAGAAGTTATATTACAGCCAGTTAGCAGAAAGCAAGGTTAATAGAGTGATTGCTAAACGTGCCTCAGGAGTAGAGAAGGGATTGAGATATGTGATATAAGAGTGGTTCTCATTTTTCAACACGTTTCATGTATCATCTGAACCGAAATGTCAAGGAACACTAATCAACCTGATTTTAATTAAGTGATTCCTTAGACATAGAGAGAAGTGGCCTTGGTCTTTGAGTTGACAACATGATTCTCTACGACCTACAACACCAGTTTTTGTTAAGTGCCTTCAAGCTATAGGGGACTCATAGTGATCCTATGAATGAAAGACCTGGCCAAAGGTGGGTGACTCTAATCTGCGGCCCTCAGGCCTGTTTTCAATTGTTTTTGGCCAAACATTCTTCTAGGTCATATAGCCCTAGTGTGTCCACTTGCCATACAGAGGTAACTTGTCATCGCTGTGAAGCTGAACACTGTGACACTGATGTGTCAAATGTGAGAATGGTGACCCATGGCGGACAGTGTTTGGTGGAGCTCTCCTATTAAAACAAGCTTGGAAGCAGGAGTGGCATCCACTTCTGAAACAGCTTGCATCCGGAAACCTATGAACCTGGAGAAAGGATGAAAGTTATACAGGTGTCCAGGCCTTTTGTTCCTAGGGTCGTTATGAGCTGACTACGACTCGCGGGCACTTAACAATAACAACAACAGCATAAAGAGAGATCAGTTGGCCTAGTGAACAGAAAGTGATGCTACCAAGCCAAAGGTGGGTGACTCTAATCCATGGCCCTCAGGCCTATTTTTAATTGTTTTTGGTTAAACATTCTTCTAGGTCATATAGCCCTGGTCTGTCCACTTACTGTACAGAGGTAACTCGTGGTTGTTGTAATGCTGAACACTGTGACGCTGATGTGTTAAATGAGAATGAGACAACACCAGAGCTCCCTAAGGATATTATTGTTATGGTGTACCTTAGAGGTGAAACTGACCCACAGCTGATCCTCCAGAGTTTCAGAGGCAGTTAATCGCTCAGGAGGAAATTTCTCATCCTTTTCCAGTGCAGCAGCTGGTGGCCTTGAACCACATCCCTTTGTGATTGCAGTGCAGCTTCTTGCCACTAGGCCACCAGAGCTTCCTCAAAAATATTAGAAACTTTTAAAAAGTATCTTTCACCACAGTTGATGTGAAACAAGTTATCAACTGCCTTAATTGATACTTATATCATTTTCTATCTAAAACTACAGAATACAGATTTTCTTCAATTGAACCTTTTCAGAATTTCATATTTCTTTTTTCTTCTGAATATTTTAAACATCAAACTGCTTAATAAGCTATTATCAAATAAGACATCACTGAAGAAATTAGGAAGTGTTTAAAATCTGAATTACAATGAAAATCAGCATCTGAATGGATAGAGAAGCTCTGGTATATTTACACAATAGAATACTATGCTGCATTGAAAAACAAAGAACTTAAGAAATATTATACAAAATGGATGACCATGGAGGACATTATGCTTAGTGAAATATCTCAGTCACACAAGACCAAATATTGCATAGTGGCACTTTTGTAAAATGGGACTGACATTGGGGTTGGGGAAGACTGAGAAAGATGGGATAAATTATGTATACTGCATTGAAACAGATGAGGGAGAGAACTGTTTAAAAGTGATATATGTTTAGGTAATATTGTCATAACAGGAATCCAGAATGAAGGCTGCACAGTGGAGTGCACTGTGGAGGGGGGAGATTGTATAACAATGAAAAAATTTTCCTTTTACTTTTCTAAGAGTGAGCTGGGGGGAGGGGTGGGCAGGGAGAAAAATGCAACAATGAATGAATGGAAACCAAAGTCTCTGTAAATGGTCATTAAAATAAATAACAAAAAATAAACATACAAACAAATTTAATAAAAGAAGAAAGTCTTAAGATCAATGCTCTAAAATTTCACCTTATAATATTGGTAAAAAGTAGCAAAGTAAACCCAAACAGTAAATGAGGGAGGCAACACTAAAACCAAGAGAAGAAATAGAGTGAACAAAAAAGAAAGGTAATAGAAAATAAAGGCTGATTCTTCGAAAAATTAATATCATTGATCAAACCTTAATAAACTAACCAAACATGGGGAAAGGCAGCATATTATCAATAAGAGGAATGGCAAAGGAGATGTAATCACGACTCCTTTAGACCTTTTCAATATTATTGTTGTTGTTTTTATGTGCCATCGAGTTGCTTGTGACTCATAGTGACCCTATGTACAACGTAGGGTTTGTAAACTCTGTTCTGTCCTGTGCCAATCTCACTGTCTCTGACACACCCATCCCAATTATCCCAGTCACTGAATCAATCCACCTCATAGAGGGCCTTCCTCTCCTGAGCCTGCTCTCCACCCTCCCAAGCATGATGTCCTTCTCCAAGGACCAGTCTCTCCTTACAACAAGACCAAAGTATGTCAGACGAAGCCTCAGAATCCTTTCCTCCAAGGAGCAGCCCGGTTTCAGCCTCTCAAGACTGAATGTGTTTGTTTTCTTAGTAGTCCACGGTACCTTCAATACTCTTCTCCAGCACCAAAGCTCAAAGGCATCAATTCTCCTTCTATCCTCCCTGGTCATTGTCCAACTCTTTGATGCATAACATGTGATTGCAAAGACCATGGCCTGTATCAGATGCACTTTAGTCTCCAGAGAGACACCGTTGCTCTTCAGTACTTTGGAGAGGTCCCTAACAGCAGACTTTCCCATCACAATACATCTTTTAATTTCCTGGCTGCTGGTGCCAAGAGTGTTGA